GTTACACTTTAACTTAAGAACATAAATATTTCATGCTTCTAAGAAGAGGTTTCATAATGTTAAGTTAATTGATTGAGAATAATGCAGTAGTAATTAAGAACGTCCTAATTGAATGATTGTAAGTGATCAGTAGTGGAGTTGATCAGCTACCCTAATTGAATGATTGCAAGTGATCAGTAGTGGAGTTGATCAGCTACCATGACGTAAGCCGATCTGTTGAAAATTAGAAAATTCTGGATGCCAGAATAAGTAACTACCTCGAATTCAATGCAGTTACGTTTATTTAAAGGTTGATCAGAATACAGAAATCCCAAGAGTTAGTAGTCCAATTGTTAGGTTAACATTCCTCGATGGGAAGAAAACTTTTTCACAGATCTACCCTTTTAACATACCGCTCACGTTCTTCTGTTGATAGTTTTAAGTAGTGTCTGATAATCTTGCCAACGGCCAGTTCCGAGCGTTGTATTTCTTTGCATATTGTCGTTCATATGTTGATTTCACCCAGTGTGGTGAAGTTACGGTGGGGGTACTGACGTCTTTCACTCGTAAAGCTCTGTGATAAGCGGATTGACGTGAGGCAAAATATTTTCATTGGCATAGTTACTAGGAGTCATACGGACTAAGCCACTGTCTCGCGAAACATCAGCAGGAGGTGACCCGATTTGTCAGGAGCAGAGAACACCAAATTTCTGTTGAATTAAATAAGCGACTTTAAGGCAGAGAAGATATTTCTCTTCGTCCGATTATGCGCTAATATCTGTGGTTTGCGTTTATTAATGAGGGCTCCTAAATGATACATTTTTAATTGGTTTGTGTGTAACAAAATTGGAGTGCTTAGAAGTGCCTAGTTACTGGCCAGTAACAAGTCTAGCATGACTTCATTCATTCAGTGATCAACTGAATGTATGGCTGTGTGATTTCTTAGTTGTTTGTTCTTGATAAATTTTTGTTTTAGATGAAAGCATGGTATCATATGGGCTACTGCGCGTTGCAGCTGAAGGACTACGCTTCAGCCGCAAACGCCTACCAACATTGCACCTCAATCGAGCCGGACAACTTCGAAGCGTGGAATAACCTCGCCGCTTCCTACGTGGAGCTGAAGCAGTACGAACGTGCGTTCATGATTCTGAACGAGGCTCTAAAGCACGACTATGAAAATTGGAAAGTTTGGGACAACTTTGTTCTGGTTGCCGTAAGTAGCAACCACCTTCAGGAGGCGATCGATGGCATCCATCGCCTGCTGGACCTCCACGGTAAATACACGGATTACAAGGTGCTAGGATGCTTTGTACGAGCCTGTCGCGACATGCCTCATGATTCCATGAGTAACTCTTCTCAGCTAAAACAGAACATACTAAAGCTTTTTGGCCATAT